GAATTTATAATTGTGTGCACACCTGTGACTGTGTGTGTGTGTGTGTGTGTGTGTGCATCTATGACTGTGTGTGTGTGTGTGTGTGTGTGTGTGTGTGTGTGTGTGTGTGTGTGTGAGGGAGCATATACCCATCTATTCTGTGCCAGAGTCCCCCTAAGGAACAGGGAGCCTGTGTTGGACCCGAGCTTATTTCTAAGGTCCTTGGGAAAGGAAACACTTGGTGGTGGCTTTTACAGGAGCAAATGTTCGTCAGCTGCTGCCTCAGATTCGTTTTGCTTGTCACTTTCTTTATTCCCAGGAGCCTGTGATGGCCGGGAAGGTTTGTGTGGCCATCGCTGTGCTATTGGGAGGGTCCCTGTGGGAGCCCGGGCACTTTTGTCTCTTCACATTCTTGTCTTTCCTTTTTGTCTTTGTGGCTGGCTTGGCTGGTGTGAAGAGGACTCCCCGAGAGCAGGGTCACCATCTCTGTAGGGCGTTCTGTGTACCCGACTACACCATTTCACATTCTCCTTTCTTGTGAAAAACACATTTTAATAGGTGCAATCCTCTTTCCCAGCCCACGGCAGCGTGAAACCAGGGGTTTAATGCTTAGAGAAGGATTTTGCATGTGACCTCTCTGATTAGCTATGGAAAACAAAATCCAGTTAAAAATCACCCCTGTACCCTCAACTCTACCAAGCCCTTCTCCTTCCCCCTTCACACCCTCCTTTTTCGACAATGATTGCTCAGCTATTTGAAGAAGTGTGGGTTATTGATTTATAGACATCTATTTCTACAGCTTCAACTGTATCTACAAATCTCTACATGGTATCTGACTCATCTCATAAAAGCATACTTAACAGTTGTTAGCTCTCTTCTAGCCTCAAGAGAATGGGTTTTTGAGAATTAGGCAAACGTACAAGATCCTATTTGGCAAATCTCTTAAGAGATCCCAAATGAAACCTTATTCCAAACTCTCTCTCTCTCTCTCTCTCTCTCTCTCTTTTTACCTCTCAATAAGATTCCCCCTCCCCATTAGACTTCATGGTGGGCATCTAGTGGATATAGGTTTTATAATCATAAAACCAAATGTTCCTCCAAATGCTGTTGCCTCCCCACCTTCTATTTAAGTGAGCTCTGCTTTATTGACTGAATTGAGCTCATTGTGTGGCCTTGTAGCTAACATATTTCCTTTTTCACTCTAGTGGAGATCCACACAATGCTTACTACTGCCAATAAGGGGAAAGGGACTGTTTTGCAAAATAAGCAAATTGGATTATCCAGTGTGTAAATAGGCACTCAGTCTTTTCCCCCATGTAAATCAGGAAAAGCAATTTGCTTGTGCAGAAAAAACCCAGCACCACTGCTCACACCTCGCCCGTCATGGCTGGCATTGGGAGTTCATTACAGGCGAGGAAAGGATGTGTTAACACCCATAGGGCTGGAGACCGTAATTAACTAATTTGCTTCCACTTTGCTGCAGTTGGAACATAGGTACCATGAAAAGATGTTATTTTAAGCAATCCCAAATCTTGTGTTGTATGCATATCAGGACAACAAAATGAATTGGGTTTCTAGATTCTTCAAGGTCCATTAAAAAAAAACCACAACTTGTATTTTGGCCAATAATTTATAATTTGTGGTGAGTGAGAGTCAGACTGGTACATGACAAAGATGAACAAAAGCTGTTTCTTTGAAGAAACAGTGGGTCAAGGTTGCCATGGTGCAAACTAGGCACTATTCGAAATGAGAAGCCACGTCACTTCATTTATGTGTTGAAGGAAATTGCTAATTTTTAAGAACTGTTTTCATCTTATTACAATAAACCAGGAATGTAGTCAAAATTGATATTAACAATTTAATAGTCGTAGACACCATGCTGATTCGGGCTCCTTTAATCATTGCTAAAGTTGGAATTACAGCATAGTAGCCCTAAAAGAAACTTCACAGTCATTTTGTCCTGTTTTTATTCTAAACGTGAAGTGGCAGAGCTTGGAGGGTACAGCGTGGCACCAGGCTGCCCCAGGCGAGCACCCAGGTGGCTCCCTCTCCATTGAGGGCCACTCGCTGCAGCAAAAAGACAGGAGGCAAACATCCCCACCGGTTCAGAGAAATGGTATGCAGAACTGGCATAGATTAGTTTGGGTTATAGGTTTGTCATGTGTAGTTAGGAGTTTGTTTAAAATGTATAATGAGCACACATAGATTATGATTCACCCTTACTCTCACCATTTTCTCTTTTAACCATATCACAGGTAGCAATTAATTCCTTTATTCTCTCTGTCCTTCTATTCCATAAATTTAATAGTCAGTCCCAGTAGCTAAGCACAGAAAAAGAAAAACATGAAAAATTATTCTAGGAGGAAAGCTGGAGTCTCTAAATAGGTGGTCTTCAAAAAAAAAAAGAAGAAGAAGAAGAAAAGAAAGTGAGTCTGGGGAACAGATGTATAAAACAATCATCTTGTAATCATGTTGGATTCTTGTTTGCGGTACTTGGCTAACTTAGTGAGGTTTTCTAATCCTCTTTGAAGAAATTAACATAGGTTCTGCCCAGGGCGGTGATATCTAGCTTTCCAACATGCGAATTCAATCATGAACGCTTTTTGGCCACCTCTGTCATTGTGGTGATCCTCACGTTTGATGTCTCAGGCAGTATTTGTAACCAAAGGGTACGAAGGGTGCACACATTTCTGAGGAAGTGATGTTGGTAACTCTCCCTGTGTCGGGGGCAGCAGACTGAAGCAAACCACAGTGTCCCCAGGCGGAATGAAGTCAGGACTCCAAACACAGAGCAGACAGTCAATAAAAAAGACAAAGTCACACCTTCCCATAGTTTGAATTTATAGGGGCAAATTAGAGCGATAAACTTACACACACACACACACACACACACACACACACACACACACACACCACAAAAAAACAAACAGATTTAATGAGGCACTTTGCTTAATATTATGTTTTAAAGTGCAAATGGCAGGCTTGTAATGGGGGAGAGTAGGGGTGGGGGAAACTAGTAAAAGAACAGTGTGCTTAAAGCCTGCCGGTAAATATAAGGCTTGAGGATGAAAAGTGGCATTTGGGGAAAGTGTTATTGATTGGAATTTTCTCTGCCAGTACCATTTTAGGACACATCTATAGAATTTATTCCATACAATAGAGGCTTGCAGTCACCGTGTCAGGATGTGCCTTGCTTGGGCATCAGACTTCAATTAGGTAATGACCATGGCAAGGAGTGAATAGCCAGAGAGCCATTCATCTTCCTCCGTACATGACACAGCGTAACGGGTGTTTCTGGCGATTGGTGCACATTGAATTAGGTCATTGCTGAGTTTGTCGGCCTTTGAGGGAGTCTGCATTTACATGTGATGATTTCACCACCCTCTTTCCTTCTCCATCCCCCCCTCCTAAACAGCATCTATTGTTCCAGAGCCCACAGTGTAGTGGGATCAGAATTTATGTCCACGGATTATAAGCAAGGGACACCACCGTAGTCCATAATCAGCTCATTAGCATTCTGCTCATGGGAGCCAGTGCGAGTACAATTTTCAATGGCCTAATGTGACAGGTAATCATAAATTAGTATTTGCTTTAAAACAACGGCAGAGTACACAGCCTGCATACTTAAGGAGAATGACTCAGTAAGTAGTACAGCTCCGTAATGAAGTGGGAGCTCATTAAACAGATGCTATCTACTTCACCGAGCTGCACGAGCAGCAAACAAACCAAATGGAAATGTTTCCACAGAACACTGCAGTCAACCAGGACAAGTTCAGGTTCATTAGCTGTGGCACCGTCTACAGGAATTAGTCACAGTAATAATTAAATAGTTGTTTGCTAATTTATCATTTTACGTTTGTTACTACATTTGCATAATGTGTTGTGCCCCCCAAACCCCCCACACCTTTGGTGATATTAAAATGCCCTCATCAGTGTGTAAAAACTGAAAACTGCATGATTTTAAAAAAAAAGATATCAGAAGTGGCCTCTATTGGGCAGTTGGTTGGTAATAACCTTGCTGTTCGCTTCAAAAATTGAAGCAGTGTCTCTCTTAGCATATTGGCATGCTGTCATTTTAAGAGGCCTCCCCTGCACGTGGGAGGCCGTTCTGGGGGTGCACACCCAGACTTGTCTGTAAGCAACTGGTGAGTTGGGTGAAATAGGGACTTGTTAGGTCGGAGAGAGCCCAGGATCGGACACATGCAGACGTGTGATGAGATAATGGACTCTCCCTGGCATTTCTAACAGCTCAGCGTGCCAGACACAGATACCGGCTTCTTCTCCCTGAATCAACACGACCCCCCTGGGAACAGGCTGTGCGACCTGCTCCCTCCCTCCCCTGCCTTTTCTCCAGTCTCATATCCAGGTCCCTGGCTTCCACTGCTCCGTCCCTTTCTCATTTCCCTTGGATAACAGCGCATTCTAATACCCCTCCTACTTTCACTGCAATACCTACCTCTCTTAGGCTCACCAGATGCCTCCCACCATCCCCGAAGAAGATTCGGCGACACCATCCAGGACCGGATGACCCATCATTCCTCACAGGCTCTTACCTGGCAAGGGACCTTCCAATTTTGCTCAGGTTTTTAATATTTTCAGGTGAAACGGACGTGGAATGATGAGAAAGTCATCAATTCTACTGTCTGGGATGGGAAATCCTCTAGTGTCACTCTCTATTTACGAACCCTGGATCTACTCCTATGCCCACCCTCATCAACATGACTTTCCATCTACTCTCGAACATCAATCCCTCCTCCTCTACATACTGCTGGATTTCTCTGTCACTGGCTCAAACCCTCATCATAGCCACTCAATTCCAACCTATTGGACCATCTAACTAAACTCTCTCTAGAAATTCGCAGCTCCTG